TATTTGGTAAAGTACTGGGTTAGTCAAGAAGCTAAATTGTCAGATATAAAGTACTAGTAAAGACAAACAAAGTGGACATTGTTGTTAAAAGTAAAGCTTAAAATAATATAGCAACAGGAGCTGGAATATTAGAACTCTTATTAAAACTGGCTTGCAGCATTCTAAAAAGCTCTGCGTAAATAGAGCATAAGGTTATTACTGCCTGGAAATATAATCACACATACTTCAGATAAGAAATCACTCCAGTTACCCAAAGAGCTTAAAACTATTAAAACTATTTCTTTTCAGTACTGACATGCTTTGCTGTCTGGGTCAAAAGTGATGTTATAAAAATCTCGAATGAAGGTAAATTTTGGTCATAAATTTGAACCATTTCAAGTACATTTTCCTTAGCCAAACAGCATGACTGTATTTTCTAAATAGAAAGGAGAAGTACTGGCATGATTTTAAAAAGGAAATAAGGGGTAGAAATAGTTCCTAGGTCAGGCATTTCTCCTGGTAACACAAACAGTATTATCACCAGTAATCTCTAGGATTCCTCTTACAGCTTTTCCTGCAACAAAAGGTAGAAGGAGTTAACAAGCTTTACCAATGCCACCAAAGTTCCTGCTCTTAAAGTTGAATTCAAGCTCTCAGTCATGAAAAGAACAACAAAGAGGAGAAATTAGCATATGGATCACATAAAGACCACCTCTCCTAGAGCTGCACCACCGCAGCACACACCCTTCCTGAGTACTCTCTGAAATGAGCTGTTTCTCAGACTTGGGGCCAAGAATAATATTTAGGCTTATTAATTTTAAAGCCTAATGAGATGACTCTCTCCTTCTAAGAAGCCACTACATTTCAAGGGGGGGGGGCGGGGGAGGGGATTGTTAAAAGGGACCAGACAAGCCGTGTTAACACAGCTGCAGAGCACTTGGAAACAGAGTATGGCTATTAGTATTCAAAGCATGCCTGCTGCAGGGAGTGGACCACCTCTCTAGACTTTGGAGACAGCAGACCTCGTACTCTTCCAAAGCTAATTGTGACTACCTGCAGGGAAAACAGGAATATATGGAAGCCCACTGAAGAAATGTGCCAAGTTCCCTGCTGCAGATGACTGTACTCCCAGCTGGTTCTACAAGAGACAGCTGGACATAAGATTAACGGTGAGAATTCACAGTTTTATTTAGATGTGTGAAAAAGAAGAAGAGGACTCTTCCTAGAGACCACAGATCCATCAAGCAGCTCTTTGGTTGCTTACAGGAAACTACAAAAAATTAGCTTGCCAAAGTGAACTAAGCATTGCTGCAGGGAAAGACAAGGTGCAGCATCCATTGTAGTGCAGCACATTTGGAGTTAGGAGCTGCACTTCCAAAGCTGCTGCTTTATTGTCTTCCCTACATAACTGTGCTGGTCATAAACCCAGAAAAGTTACAGATAAAACCACTAAGTCTATGCCCTCTTATGCGTGAGATAAGTATCTTTATCACAGCACAAAAGAGATTAACTATTTGCACAGGGTTCACAGCCTCGCATTCAGCCACTGTTAAAGGAATGCGCATATTCTCATGTGCTAATTGTAAGACCAGTTAGGAGCGCAAGGGCTCTCCAGCTTGGATGGACTGAGAATGCTTCTGCACAAGGCAGGAACTCCTACTGCAGCTGCAGGTGGACTATTATACAGTAAGCATTCCACTATGTAAGCACCATCTGATAGCTACCACCCACTAACGGTCCCTTTTGCAAGTGTATGTGCTGGCTTTGTGGCCTGGCCTGGCCTGGCTGCTGGAGGGATGAAAGAACAGCCTCACATAGCTGTGGGATAGCTGGTTTTGTACACCTCTTTCCAATCTAAGTGCAGAAAGCTTTAACGGATCAGTCAGTTGGTACCATTACTTTTCATGCCTTGGGATGTGAAGAGGCATGGGAACTGTAACGGCTCTAATGGAACCCAGACACAATTGCAGCCTGGCACTCTAAATCTATTACCCACACAGAGAGACATAGCCAAATGCGTCCAGTTAGTGCCTGAAAAGGACAGATGCATTGTTATAACTTTACTGTAGTATGAGGTTAGGACATTATAATAATTTTATCTAGAGATCTGTGATTCATGTTAAAAAGGTTAAAGTGTTAATGACAACAAAACCAACAATACACGAGTCATTTCCCAAAGGCAGATTAACATTTTTTCTCTTTAGAGATAGGACACTGAGGTATGAAAAAGTTAGGCAACTTGCCTAGAGTCACAAGATGAGTCATTGACTGAAAAAGGACAAGTCCAACCTAAACCTGACAGAAATCTACAGCATACTGGCGCAGCTCTTTCATGAATGTGAAGGGACTTGGGACGCACGTGTCAGAATGTTACACTAATCACCTGTGGCTTTCCACAGCTGTTAATTTTGGGGTGAGTTGTAACGCAAAAGCATGTGACTACCTCAACTGTTTTTAACTACATGTTTCTGTTTAATTTGTTGTTTATGAAATATCTCTATTTTGGAAGTTATCAACTTCTTATGACTATACCTGTTCCTCCTTTTCCCTCCTTCCAGATGGGAAAGTGTCCTGGTTTCAGCTGGGATAGAGTTAATTGTCTTCCTAGTAGCTGGTACAGTACTATGTTTTTGAGTTAGGTATGAGAAGAATGTTGATAACGCTGGTGTTTTCAGTTGTTGCTAAGTAATGTTTAGTCTAAAGTCAAGGATTTTTCAGCATCTGATGCCCTGCCAGCGAGAAAGCTGGAGGGACACAAGAAGTTGGGAGGGGACACAGCCAGGGCAGCTGACCCAAAGTGGCCAGGGGGGTATTCTATACTGTGTGATGTCACATCTAGTATAGAAACTGGGGGGAGAGGGGGAACGCTGCTCGGGAACTAGCTGGGCATCGATCGGCAGGTGGTGAACAATTGCATTGTGCATCACTTGTATATTCTAATCCTTTTATTATTACTATTGTCATTTTATTAGTGTTATCATTATCATTATTAGTTTCTTCTTTTCTGTTCTATTAAACTGTTCTTATCTCAACCCACGAGTTTTACTTCTTTTCCCGATTTTCTCCCCCATCCCACTGGGTTGGGGGGAAGTGACTGAATGGCTGCGGGGTGCTTAGTTGCTGACTGGGGTTAAACCATGACAGAAAGATTCTAGTAAAGAGGATCAGTGATACACTTTTGGACTATTCCACTCACTAAGCCCAGTGTAAGATCTGACCTACTTCAAAGAGGTCCTCTAATTATTCAGGTGCTGTCCCCTTCTCCACAGAGAGTAAAGACTACCCCAAAATACCCGCACCTCTCCTCATTCCTCAGGATACCAGAATGCAGTGACTTCCACACTACTGTGAGAAGACAATGGGCAGTACCTCACTAAGAGCTCATTAAGCTGCATCCATAACAATAACTGACTTCAGTAATGAAATTACAAAGCAGTAACAGTATGTATTTTCAGAATATCGATCCTGATTCAAGTCCAGTTAAAACTAAGCAAGAAAAAAAGAAGATTTAAAAAATAATAGGACAGAAAAGTTACAGCTTACAAAAATAAATTCTATCTAAAAGAATTAACACCTTTGAGAAAGGCACTCAATTTACACTGAAAAGTAATCGTAGCAATTCACAGCTAGGTCACGGCAAGCACTAGGTCTTTATTGCTTTTGTCTTTTCACACAGCAGCAAAAATGTAAGCTGCCTAGAGCTATCTGCAGGATGATGGACAACAGACACCTGACTTGTCATCACAATAAACTCTGGGTTTTTTTGCTCCCCACCAGCCTCCTCTGCAGCCTTAGATCAGGAGCAAAAACTGAAAAAAGCAAAATCTTGCTAGCGATTTTGAAGCCCACAGCACATCACTGAAATTTACATACACACAAACCATTAAGCGAACACATGTGATTAACTTAAAGGATGATGCATTCCATAAGGTAACTTCTTTTCTTCTTTAATAGTTAGTCAAATTGTAACAAAAAGAATATCACATATTTTGTACCAGAACTGAAGTCTAATTGGTAGGAAATGGCCCACAAAAACAGCTATAAAAATCTTTGCTGAGAAGTAAGGTGAGACTGCCAGGTTTGCCAGGTTTTATGTGAGAATTGTTAATTGTACAGATTAGCTAAATGAGAATTTGAAAGGCTCTCCTGCATACAGAATAGCGAATTATCAGCAAGGTTCCAGTGGACTCCGCTTTTTCGTTGCAAATGGTAGCAGAGACATCTAAGAAGCAATCACAGCACTCAAATGTAATTTCAGGTGCACAACCGTGGGCCCACTTGTGGAAGACAAGCTGTGTCACTTAAAAGCAAAATTGCAGGGTCAGAACTCTTTCTATCAGTCCTGAAATGTTGGAGTGCAAAATGCGGAATGCGCTGGGCAACTCTGTTCCTCACCAAATGGCCTACATAAAACCCTCTCCTAAGTTTGGAGATTGCCTCTGGGTAGAGTTCCTTCTCACTGTTCTCTTTTCCCTTTATGTGCTCTGCTGTAGCATCTCTGCATGAGTGTCTTGAACTGACATGCAACCTACGAGTCCTTGGGAGATTCAAACAATCAGGGATAAAATGAGTAGAGGACTTGCTTTTTAAAATAATTTTCAGTTAAACCTCAGCAAAGATTGGAAAGTTCCCAGTCTAAATAACATTTAATACATGGTTTGCCCAGTCTTAATACAGGGAAACACATAGGAAAAGAATGCAAATAATTGTCCCTACCAACTACCATTTATTAATGAAGAACAACCTACTCTCTTCTTTTAAAAGCATATTTTAGTGATGACTGAAGTTTGCTGTGTGTTATGGAAAAATAGAGGTGAGCTGAAAAATCGCACTACTCCAGTATTTTTTTTGTTATATTGACTCATATAAGTGGTATTTAAAAAACCGGCTGGGATAGACAGGTAGATTTTCTGCTGAAATAAGGCGATTTTCAGCTACTAATTTCAACTACTCCATCAATACTTATGTCATCTCTTTCACCACTGGAGGGAAAAAGGAACTCCAGGTGGTCCAGGACTTACCAGCTTGTAGCCAAATTTGTTCAAGAGCTGTCCACAGCTGCATAGGTCCTTGCTTCATTGCACTGCTCTGCATAGTTATTTCGGACATGGCCTGTTCCAGTCTTGATGCAGCAAGGGAAGAGGCTCGCTGTGATCCTATGGACCAAACAAACAAGAACAATAATGCATTTTATACTTCTTTGGGATATTTCTTTGACTCATTAAGGCAGCAGGTCTGATTCTCCAGTCACTGCATCAGTTTTTTGTAATAAGAATGCCACTGAGTTCTGGCATGATCAACTGGAGAACCATGTTTTATAAAAGGTTAATTTACTGAAAAAACCCTATTAAATTACCCAAGGGCTGCAGCTCTAACAAGCGAATTAAGAAAGAGTAATTTTATAAAGGTCTGCTTAGCATTCATCAAAGAAGCAACTGTATTTCGCTCATTTGGAAAGCAGAGCTCTACCATCAAATATTTCCTACGAATACTTGTAAGTAACCTGTTTTATAAGCACACTGTCACCACACAATTACAAAATATGGCCCAATAATGTAAAATCTTAGTACAGCACTGGAGTAGCTTGGCACCGTTCACACAGCACACACATTTCAAGTGACATCAATATTGTTCTACTGGTTTAGAGGCAGCGTGGTTTTTCATTTAACCTTGGGGAGCAGAGAGCTCAGTGCTTTGACTATATTAACCTTTAGTATGCACTTTAACATTTACGCAAGAATAAAGTATTTGGTGCCCACGTCTCTGGGACAAAACATGACATCAAAAGCTAGTCCAAAGAAGAATGCATGGGCAGATACCATGTTCTCCAGTGCAGCTGGTGGGATTATACTGGTGAGGTGACCTCTCAGAAGGGTACCAATAGGATGGTAACAAAATAAGAAGCTACAAAATGAGATTTCAGAGTTGGCTTTGTAAAGCTTTGGGAAATAAATATTTTAATATACGTATGTTTAATGTGACTTTAAGGTTGATAAGCTCTTTCTCTGGAGAGCTGCTGTGACTGAAGCACTTGCGCCGATTAGCATTACCCTTTGATCTATCCTTACAGGCTGACCTTGTAGACCACAAGATCCTGGAGTTAAAATCACGCTTTCTCTCACTGCAGCCACCCTGTGGGAGCAGCAGAGCCTAGGAACAGGTACTCAGAGAAGCTGGGATGGCTCTGCGCAAGGGAAGGGACAGAAGGGCAAAAAACCTGTCATGGGGCATATGCATTAAGTGATCTCTCTGAGAGGGATAGCATGCTTTTCCAGCTGGAGTGTGCTGAAGAGAGGGTTGCTTAACCACACCTCCTCACCAGCAGACCATCATCCGGGCCAGGGCGCCGACAGGCAGAGCAGCATGGTCCCCTGGCTGGTGCTCCTCTGAACACTGAGCTGGGAGCCAGCCTTCAGCCAGGCGCAAGGGGAGGCACATTTCTGGCCCACGTTCCTTCCCAAAGACACCTTTGTGGTGCGGGGCAGGATACAGCCTACAGCTTTTACCTAAGCCGAGGCAGTGCTGCCTGCCCCTGAGAGCGTCGTGGTTAGGGAGAGGTCGCAAGTGCAACTTGAAGCCTAAAACTGTTATGGGAAATATTTGTCCCATTATCTCACCACTAACTAATGTCATTCATTTTAAGCAGGAGAACTTCAAAACAGCCCTGCAGCACAAGCGCCTCCCACGGCTCCCTTGGAAAATGCAAATGTGCTCTTCCTAGATGCATTTCTTAAATTCCTATGTATTTTCAAAGACATTCCTGATCTAATGTTCCAAGAGATGACAGTGCAGTAATGTAGCAATTACGGCTTTAATGGTAGGGTAAAAGCCATTCTGCTTTGCACGGAGAATTTATTATATTTAACAGTTTATTTAACAGATCCATCTTCAGCCTGTTTCACTGCATGGGATTCCTCCCTCTGCCTGGCCCATTCACACTCCTCTCTTCCATCCCTACCTCCATCTGGGAGAAATTTCACTGAAACTCTAAGAGTTGTTTAACACACGGAAAACTACCAGGCACTCACACCCAGCCATCCAACAGACAGCTTCTTTGCAGTGCAGAGGCAACAAGAAAATGGCCATGTGAACAGCTAGTGATGTTATTAGGAGCACTTTGAAGTTAGGGAAGACCTCCTGCCTTCTAGATTGACAAACTTGGAAAAAAGTACATGGGCTTTGGGGATTTTGCAGTCAGCCTAACCAGATTCTTATATTAGCACTCCTGATGATGTTAGCATGCTTTGAAAGCAACTTTCAATATTACATTTCTCTGCCAAGACCGCCCTCTTTCAGAGAGGCTTTCTGGAGCTGTGTTTCTTGCAAGCACTAGTATGTAATGCTGGTCTGATTGTATTAGGTGGGCAGATGGGCTGGCGTTTTATTCACATCCTCACAGAGCTCAGGGAAATCCTCTTGTCCTTCCAAGTCAACCCAAGGAGACCATGTCATTGTAAGGCACCTTTGTGCATTTTGGAGAGGTTCACATGCTGCTGTGAGGCTGAACAGCCACTTAGGATCTACTAAAGCATCCTTCCCTCACAAAGGAGGCTTTACAGGAATATCACTATGAGCTAGTTGCACTCAAAGGAACTCCAGTTAGCTGCTCCTCTTCTTCTCTTCATTAGCTGGGTAGTTGCCAGAAGGGGAAAGCCTGCAATTTGAGACTGATCTTGCCCAGTGCCGTGGGCTTCAATTTGCACAGCCATGAAAAGGGAACCCAAGTTACTTAGCAATTTACAGCATTAAACAGCCTTTGGCATTGCAGTCTTTTGATGTTTATTTTCTTTTCCATTTCAGCCTACACAAGGAAGCAAACCACACTAGGCAGAGACCATCCAATCCCTTCCCATCCCTGCCCAGCCTCAGACACAGATATGGTCCTTGTTCTAGACAAACACACACCAGATGAAAAGGCTCTCTCCATCCCAGCCCATACCTGCACATTTGCTACTGCTGTTCTTACCCATCTCTGCTGGACCACTCACAGGAATGCTCCTTAAAGCTTGTCTACCCAAATAAACTCTGTAAGTGAAGGTCTTTGCCAGCCTGGCCCTTCTGGACTGAAAGGGGGTCAGTCACAGCTCTGAACCTCAGGCAATATGGTCACCCTGGGGGTGGGCTGAAGGCTACTGGAGCCGGAAAAGAGTATACCTCTAACACATGCTCTCCCCCGAGTGAGGACGTAGGCAAGTATTGTACCAGTATCGCTCTGACCTCTGCCTGGCAGGTGTGAGAGACTGAAAGAGTCAATGTCTCAAACATTGTGGTGGGGCAAGTTCTGCTTA